GTACACTGTGTGGGCTCCAGAGATCTGACTGGTTCCTATTTAGCATGTCCAGTTAGTATTGTTTAAAGGCAGATTTACATAGCTTTTGTTTTATAATGCTAGGTATGGGAAACATTTCCAGTCAGATACAATGTCCAACCCCCTAAAGACAATCAGGTAAAATCACTTCAGAGAAAGTGTGTTCAAATACACCAACTCTCCTATAAAGGTTTATCTTAATTCCACCAACCCTCACTTTCCTAACTGTAGCCTCTATTAGAACTTTATTAATGGGTTTTAGTTTTACAAGCCTAGGTAGGAGAAGTGTTCCCCAGCCAGATATGCTATCCCTCTCATTAAACATTTAGGTAAAGAAGACACAACTTCTTTACATGAATCTTGCTCCAGCATTCCAACTTCCGTAAGTCTATCAACCCTTAAATTTTTATGTTTTCTCAATCTAATTATACCCCAAGTCAGAACATCACCAATGGATGTTGGCACCATCATCAGTGGACCTCCCATATCAAGGAGTCCCAGGAATTTCTCTTCACCATCCCTGATCATTTTATCCACCTGTGTGTATAAAGCTTTCTTTATGCTCCCATCAGGGGACTGAGCGAAGGAATCCTTGTTTGTTGGTTAATCTTTTTCTTGATTAAACTGCCAGACTATTGTCCCAGGAAATTTCAGGTCAGATTTCTTGTTATAATCTTTGCTTTCTGACTTTTAAAATTTCTCCAAGCTAGGATAAATAGAGCAAACTTTTTTGGAACCCTTTAATGTTAGGGAACCAGCAAGGACTCCCTTTGGCTCACCCAAGCATCAACAGCATCATATTAAGATTTTTGTTCTAACTCCATCAATTTCCATTTTTACTCATCCCACTTCTGACACCAAATCTGAGGCTATAGGGAAAACAACCAAAGTGGCTTTTTTCTGTTATTTCACTCAACAATCAACACTTCTGTCACCAAGAATTGTGTAGGGATTTCTCCCCACCAGCCACCTATTAATCAGTTCTGCAGTGGACACCAATCGGTTGTACTCCAATTCAGTCCTCATACTATCTATCCTCACAGAAGATCCCGCAAGTTGAGGGCTTGGTCCCACAAGACTGTCCACCACTTCCAATGCCACTTGTAGGCCTCAGGTTCTTTACCTGTGCTTCTGACTGACCAGCTATAAACTGGAATTCTCATAACCCCCTTCTCTTCCGTTAATTTTTGTTGTTGTTCTTCTGTGTGTTTTGAGGGTTTTGGGTATTTGCTTGAGACAGAGTCTCGCTCTGTCACCAGGCTGGAGTGCAGTGGCACGATCTCAGCTCACTGCAACCTCTGCCTCCTAGGTTCAAGTGATTCTCCTGCCTCAGCCTCCTGAGTAGCTGGGACTACAGGCATGTGCCACCACGCCCAGCTAATTTTTGTATTTTTAGTACAGGCAGGGCTTCACCATGTTGGCCAGGATGGTCTGGATCTCTTGACCTCATGATCCATCCATCTAGGCCTCTGAAAGTACTGGAATTCAGATGTAAGCCACCACACCTGGCCCAATTAATTTTTCAGAGCAGCTCCAAGAACTTAGGCAACACTTACTTATGTTTACCGGGTTATTTTAAAGGAGATTACGAAGGATACAGATGAAGAGATGCACAGAGTGAGGTGTAGGGGAAAGAGAATGGACTTGCCATGCCCTCTCCAGGCATGCCACCTTCTAGGAACCTCCATGTGTTCAAGTACCCAGAAGCTCCCTAAACTCAGTCTTTTGGGGTTTTTAAATGGAACATTCATCACATAGGCATGACTGATTAAATCACTGGCCATTGGTGATCCACTTAACTTTCAGCTCCTATACTGAAGTGACCTGGGGCCTGCTAGTGGAGGTGAAGGGTGTTACGAAGACCAAATATATCCTTCACAATATCACACATTTATAGCTCTTGGCATTTAAAAAATTCTCCATGTCTCTTTTTTCTAACCTGTGAAATAGGGATAGAGATAAATTCTGCTTCAGAAGGATGTCATAATGCTTCAAGGAGATAATATGTACAAATCGCTTAGACAGATGCCTATACGAGTGGGCACTCATACGTTATCAGGCATGGGATGGGCCACTTCAGGAAGAGGGAGCCCCTGTTCTCTTCCTAAGTCTGAACAGCCCAGAATTCAAAGAGGATCAGTAAATGGCCTTTCACCAGGATCACAGTGGATTTTGTAGAGTGGTGGGCTGGTAAGCTGATTCTCCAAAACGCAGAAAGTCCTGATTTGTAGTGTTCACCATTGCTATGGTGTAAATCCTCTCAAAATGGCCAATTTCAAGCTAACAATGGTTTAACATCTGGCTTGCACAATTTCTGAAAATTTAATAATCTGCTCTTATGAGCCAAGGCAAGCCACCTCCAGAACACCATCAGCTTTTGCATCATCCAGTTTTGTGAACACGGCGGGTCTCTTCTTCCCTCTGTATTTTACTTCCCTCCAGCTCTCCAGATAGAGCTAAGCCATCCAACTCATTCGCACCGTACATATTTATTGGAGTACCTACATGTCAGTCACTAGGTTGAGTTGGGCTCTGGAAACGCATCCTCGAACAGAAGCAGACCAAATCCAAAACAAAAACCCCCGTGAAGCTTACGTTCTGGAAGTGGGAGTGAGGGGAGAGCAACCAAAAATAACAGTGAAAGAAGAAAATTATTAATGTTATGAAGAGGTGCGACACAGAGTTACTGTGTTGGGAGTAGGAGCTACTTTGGATCATATGATCGGTAACGCCTTCAGGTTTTTTTGGGTTTGTTTTGTGTTTTTTGAGACAACGTCTCGCTCTGTCGCCCAGGCTGGAGTGCAATGGCGCGATCTTGGCTCATTGTAACCTCTGCCTCCTAGGTTCAAGCAATTGTCCTGCCTCAGCCCCCCAAGTAGCTTAGGATTGCAGGTGCCTGCCACCATGCCTAGCTAGTTTTTTGTATTTTAAGTAGATACACGGTTTCACCATGTTGGCCAGGCTAGTCTTGAACTCCTGACCTCAAGTGATCCTCCCGCCTCAGCCTCCCCAAGTGCTGAGATTATAGGCATGAGACACTGTGCCCAGCCCAATGAAGGCTTCTTAAAGGGGAGAAGGTGAGACTTAAGAAAGAGCCATGTGCCAGTGTGGTGGGAAGAGCATTCCAGCATAAAGAACAACGACTGCAAAGAACCCTGGGGCTGGAATTGTTTGGTTTGTGTAAGGGACGGAAAGAAGGCCACAACGGGCTGAGTGATTGAGGCAGGGAGCGGCCCCAGCTGGTCCAGGTGTTTAGCGGTTGTTGTTCTGAAGGTGGAGGCAAAGGTAGAGGCCAAGAGAGCAGAGCATAGGCTGCTATGGCCAGAGCCCTGCATGGAAAGATGGGGAAAGCTCAGACCAGGATGGGAGAATAAGAAAAGGACAAAGCAGCCGGGCATGGTGGCTCACGCCTGTAGTCCCAGCACTTTCAGAGGCTGAGGTGGGCGGATCACCTGAGGTCCAGAGTTCAAGACCAGCCAGACCAACACGGAGAAACCCTGTCTCTACTAAAAATACAAAATTAGCTGGGCGTGGTGGCACACGCCTGTAATCCCAGCTACTCAGGAGGCTGAGGCAGGAGAATCACTTGAACCCGAGAGGCAGAGATGGCGGTGAGCCGAGACCGTGCCGTTGCCCTCCAACCTGGGGAACAAGAGCAAAAGTCTGTCAAAGAAAAGAAAAGGGCAAAGCAGAGATTTGTTTTGAAGGCAGAGCCGGAGGCTCTTGCATACAGATTGGATGTGAGGGGAAGGGGAAGGAAGTGAGGATAGGTATGTTTCTGAGGCGCAACAGCCCCTGCTGGGTAACTTCAAAAGCTCCTGTCTTGAACTGCTACAGAAATAACGTAGGCTCCGAGATAACTGTGCTCCTGCCTAGGCCAAGGGGACAGGAGAAGAAGGATGGAATACAGCTGATAAAGAGGTGCAAAGTAGAAAGCGGGGGAAGAAACTGACTACAGGTGGTTGAGGTGCTGGGTGGAGCCGGGAGCTGCTCCAGGATCTCTCGTTCTTCTCAATAACCTTGGGCAATAAGGATTTTTCCATCTTGCAGGGGAAGATGCTGAGGTTCTGGGAAGAGAAGTGGCTTGTCCAAGGTCACACAGCCAAGTCAGTGAAAGAACAGGGAGCCAGGATGTTTTGCACCTAAACCCTGGATTATGGTTTCCTCCCCACCTGCTCCCCCAAGATAAGTCCCCCGGTCTCTTCTCATTGCCCTCTTATACTGGGGATGAGGATTGGGGTGGAGAAAAAAAGCAAATTTCACTCCAAAAATCAGTGTTCGTTGTTATCTATGAAAATAGATGAAACAGCTAAACTGTGTCCCACAGGAACAGGGGCCTGGGGGCCCGGACTCCTGGGTCTGAAGGAGGAGGGGGCTGGGGTCCCGGATTCCTGGGTCTGAAAGAGGAGGGGCTGGGACCTGGACTCCTGGGTCTGAAAGAGGAGGGGGCCGGGGGCCTGGACTCCTGGGTCTGAAGGAGGAGGGGGCTGGGGTCCCGGATTCCTGGGTCTGAAAGAGGAGGGGCTGGGACCTGGACTCCTGGGTCTGAGGGTGGAGGGGATGGGGCCAGCCTCCTAGGTCTGAGGGGGGATTGGGACCTGGAGGAGGGAGCTGTGTTTTAGGAAGTATCTTAGACTCCGGGTTCTGCGGACAGGGTGGAAAGACGTGGGGACGCCTGGGGAGGGAGGGGGTAGGGGCCGGACCGCAGTAACAAAGGCCTCTCCCTCCAACAAGCAACCCCCCCTCGACCCCGCCTCCCCGGCCCCCCGCCTCTCCTGATTGGCCGGTCTCCCTGCCCGTCAGCGCCGCCCCCCTCCCCGGGTCTGCAGCAGCTCCGGCCGCCTCGTCGCGCCCCCCCAGCCCCCTCCCCCCGCCCCCGCCGCCCCCCGGGCCGGTGCAGCCGCAGGCGGGGTCCCCCTCCCCCTCCCCCTCTCCCCCCAGGCCTCGCGCGCCCCGGACCGGCCCCCCCTTTCCCCTCCCCCTCCGCGCCGCCTCTGCCGCGATGCCCCCCCCTGCGCCCGGGGCCCGGCTCCGGCTTCTCGCCGCCGCCGCCCTGGCCGGCTTGGCCGTCATCAGCCGAGGTACCGCAGCGCCGGGGGCGGGGGGCTCGATCGGGACGCCAGGGTCTTGGGCGGGGGATCGGGGGAACAGGGGTGGGGGTCGAGGGCTGCGTCCCTGGGCCGGGGAGGGGAGGCCCCGGGACGCCGAGGTCTGGGCCCGGGGGCGGGGTCTGCATCCCCTGGCTGGGCAGGGGGACCTCGGACGTGGGGGTCCGCGCCCTGGGGCAGGGGTCGGCGTCCCGGGGCCAAAGTCGGGCCCAGGGGCGGGCAAGAGGGTCGCAGACACCTAGCCCGGCCTGGGGGTGGGAGTCTGCGGCTCCTGATGAGGAGGGGGCAGACACTGGAGTCAGGGTCCCCGGGCCAGATCTCTAAACTGAGTTGGGGTGGGGGGCAGGGGATGATGCCCTGTCAGGGCTCTTCCATCTGTACGTGGAGAGGGTCCCTGAAGAGGCCCTTGCCGGGGGCTGGGGTAGACGTCTCGGGACAGAGGTCGGGGCATGGATGTCTTCCCAGGGTCAAGAAGAGGAGGGTACAAGAGTGTCTCAGAGTCAGAAAAAGAGGGGAAGGGGCTGAAATCCCCCAGCAGGGCCATCTAGGTTGAGAGAAAGTGTTGATACTTGGGGGGCTGCAGTTACTGTGGGGGAGAAGAGAGCTGGAGATACAGGAAGTTAGGGTGCTGGGCTGGGGTCTTGGATTCCGGAGCTCTGATTGAATGTCTGGGTTCCTGGGGCTGGACAGAGGAAGAGCATGGGCATGGGCAGATGAGGGAGAGGGAAGGGAAGGGTTAAGTCAGAGTCAGAGGGTTAACCCTGGTTGGCTCAGTTGGGGAGAGGGCCTGGGGCAGGTTTCTGCACTGAGGTCCGGTAGCTGGACCTTGAGTCTCCCCAGTACGGCCTGGCAGGCAGAGGGTGGTCAAGGAGATTCTTAGATCCCCCCTAAGAAAAGGGAGGAGAGTGCAAGGAGGCAGGAGGCCGGAGGGTGGGTGCTCAGCAGGCAGGGAGCTGGGTTAATTCAGACTTTCTGGAGGATTCCCCCAGGCCCTCCCTTGAACAGAGTCCTGGGGACAACCAAGAGCCCCGACAAGAGTCTCAGGGACGCCGCCCACACAGGCCGAGTCTCTCGCACAGCAACCCCATCACAACGTCCCACCCAAAGCAGCACCTGCAGACACCAGTCACGCAAACACAACACAGCCCCATCCACACAGGACGCAGGGACCAGGTGGGCCAGAGCGTCAGTCCCTCGATGGCCCTCCCCCTACCTGACCAGTCCGAATCGCCTTCTGACTTTCTGACCACCCGTCTCTGTCTCTGTCATGCCTCTCTTTAGGTCTCTGTGTCTCTGCCATTTCTGGAAGCACCCATCCTTTCACATCTGTTATCCGCTGGGAACTTTCCACCTGCCTCTGTCCCTGCACAATTGTCTCTCCGTCCGGGCCGCTGACAGCACAGTCCCACATCTGTCTCTGCTTTTCACACTGTTGCCCACTGGCACCCCGCTTGAGTCTTGCTTGATCCCTCCCAGTGTTCCTTAGTCCGCATTCACTTCTCTCATGTCCTTCTCATTTATTTCCTGTTCTCCTTCCTTCCCTTTTTTCTGTCTTTCTCTTTCTTTCTCTCTCTCTCTCTTTCTTCCTCCCTCCCTCCCCCGCCCCCTTCTGTCTTTCTTTCTTCCTTTCTTTTTGAGACAGGGTCTCACTTTCTCCCCTAGGCTGGAGCGCAGTGGTGCAATCATACACATGGCTCAACCTCCTGACCTCAAGGGATCCGGCCACCCACAGCCTCAGGAGGCTGAGGCAGGAGAATTGCCTGAACACGGGAGGCGGAGGTTGCGGTGAGCCGAGATCGCGCCATTGCACTCCAGCCTGGGTAACAAGAGCGAAACTCCGTCTCAAAAAAAAAAAAAAAAAAATTATGCCACTACACTCCAGCCTGGGCAACAAGAGTGAAACTCCATCTAAAAAAAAAAAAAAAGTGAATGTGGTGAATATGGAAAGTAGCTGGGACCACAGGTGCATGCCACCACACCTGGCTAATTTTTAAAAATTTTTTTATAGAGATGGGGGTGTCATGTATATTGCCCAGACTAGTCTCAAACTCCTGGCTTCAAGCGATCCTCCCACCTGGGCCTCCCAAAGTGCTGGGGTTACAGGCATGAGCCACTGCACCGGCCACCTCTTCTTCCTTCCGCTCCCTGTCCTTGTCTCTCGCCTTCTCCTTCCCCCTCCTTTTCTTTGCGCACTCCTTGTACCCTTTGTGGACTTTTCCCACTTCCCTGTTTCTTCTGTCTCACTCCCCTTCTGTTTCCTTTTAACTTCCCACTTTCCATATTCACCACATTCACTTTTTTTTTTTTTTTTTTTTTTTTTTTAGATGGAGTTTCACTCTTGTTGCCCAGGCTGGAGTGTAGTGGCATAATCTTTTTTTTTTTTTTTTTTTTTTTTGAGACGGAGTTTCGCTCTTGTTACCCAGGCTGGAGTGCAATGGCGCGATCTCGGCTCACCGCAACCTCCGCCTCCCGGGTTCAGGCAATTCTCCTGCCTCAGCCTCCTGAGTAGCTGAGATTACAGGCACGCGCCACCATGCCCAGCTAATGTTTTGTATTTTCAGTAGAGACGGGGTTTCACCATGTTGACCAGGATGGTCTCGATCTCTCGACCTCGTGATCCACCCGCCTCGGCCTCCCAAAGTGCTGGGATTACAGGCTTGAGCCACCGCGCCCGGCCAGTGGCATAATCTTGGCTCACCGCAACCTCCGCCTCCTGGGTTCAAGTGATTCTCCTGCCTCAGCCTCCCAAGTAGCTGTGACTGCAGGTGCCCGCCACCACGCTGGGCACACTTTTGTATTTTTAGTAGATACAGGGTTTCACCATGTTGGCCAGGCTGTTCTCAAACTCCTGACCTCAGGTGATCTGCCCACTTCGGCCTCCCAAAGTGCTGGGATTACAGGCAGGAGCCACCACATCCGGCCCCCACATTCACTCTTAAAAGTCACCACAGGCCGGGCGCGGTGGCTCAAGCCTGTAATCCCAGCACTTTGGGAGGCCGAGGCGGGTGGATCACGAGGTCGAGAGATTGAGACCATCCTGGTCAACAGGGTGAAACCCCGTCTCTACTAAAAATACAAAAAAGTTAGCTGGGCATGGTGGCACGTGCCTGTAATCCCAGCTACTTAGGAGGCTGAGGCAGGAGAATTGCCTGAACCCAGGAGGCGGAGGTTGCGGTGAGCCGAGATCGCGCCATTGCACTCCAGCCTGGGTAACAAGAGCGAAACTCCGTCTCAAAAAAAAAAAAAAAAAAAGTCACCACAAATCATTATGGGGCTAGACTGGGGCAGGAAGCTGTGGCAGAGCCAGGAGCTGGCCTGTGACCTTGGTCAAGTCTTTCCCCACCTCTAGTCTTAGGTTCCCCAGGTGGGAACTGGGGGTGAGAGGGGATCGGGTGGGGTTGAGTTGAGACAGCATGAGATGCCAGAAAGACACCCCCATCCACCCAAGGACAGTTTGAGTTATCTGGGGAAAAGAAGCTCATGGCAAGATCTAAGAGAAGAAACTAGCATCTCCTCTCTTCTTTTATTCATGATCCTGTCCAAGCTGCAAGAGGAATGCATTGCAAAAGAGTCCACCTCCGATAAGGGCGAACCTCACAATGCTCCTGCCCTGCCACCCACCCCCTCTCACAACCACTGTCTTGAGAGAACTGGTCTGTGGCTGGAGTGCATCCTTGCATAGCTTTCTCTCACTTCTGCAGACTCAGACACAGCACACAAAGGTCAACATAAGTGATGGATTGGTTGTTTTTTTGATTTTTTTTTTTCTCAAAATAGAAGCAAAACAAGCCCGTTTCTCTGCCATCGGCCTTTTCCCACTTAACCATATCTCCCTTGCATCCATAAATATTCATCTATCTTTAATTTTTTTCTAAATCTTTTATGCCAACACACACGCACCCTCTCACACCTACGCTTTTTTTTTTTTTTTTTTTTTTTTTACAAAAGTAGCTACACTGTGGTATTTTAAAGCAATTCAACAAAATCAAGCGGCAGTTTCTGCAGCAGCAAATGAGTGGGTGGTTTCTTTGCTTCTGGGGCAGCTGGCAGAGTGATGATGGTGGCCAGGAGTGGGCAGGAGGCCCTGATTTGAGTCCCTGCACTGCCCCTGACCAGCTAGCTCTCCCCAGGACCTCCGAGCTCTGGGTTCGTCTGACTTGTGGGCTGTGCTTGGTTGGTTCCTACGGCAAATGCTCATGGGGACCAGGGTCGCTATTCTAGGCACTGGATATATACACAGGGCAGCGAGAGAACCAGGCAAAGTCACGGCCCTCATGGAGCTCAGATCACAGCAGGATGGAGAGAGATCAAAGACCAAAACCAAAACCCAAAAACAAACAAATAAAAGGTAATTTCAGAGTGATGAGTAATGTCAAGAAGGTGGAAGTGACTTGGCTTTTGAGCTCAGGTGGTTGAGGAAACTGTCTCTGCACAGAGAAGAATGGAGTTAAGACCTGAGGGAAGAGCGGAAATCAACCTTTCAAAGTCGACAACAGAGGCAAATACCTTGAGGTGGGACCAGCAGAAAGGAGGGTCCAGGCTGGGCATGGTGGCTCACACCTGTAACCCCAGCACTTCAGGAGGCCGAGGAGGGCAAATCACTTGAGCTCAGGAGTTCAAGCCTAGTCTGGGCAACATGGGGAAACTCATCTCTACAAAAAAAAAAGAAAAAATACAAAAGTTAGCCAGGTGTGGTGGCACTGCGCCTGTAGTCCCAGCTGCTCAGGAGGCTGAGGCAGGAGAATCGCTTGAGCCTGGGAGGGGGAGGCTGGGGTGAGCAGAGCTGGTGCCACTGCACTCCAGCCTTGGTGACAGAGTGCTACCTCATCTCAAAGAAAAAAAAAAAAAAGGAAAGGTGCGTCTAGTTCCAGGATTCTTGGCGCAGGGTCTGGACTCCCCGGGTGCCGCTGGCGCCGCTGCCCTCAGACTTCTGAGATCAGCAAAGGAGGGAGAAGGAGCCTCCTGGGGGCTCCTGGGTGCCAGACATGCCAGGTCCAGCCCCTTCTCACAGCCTTTCCTAGCCAGAGCCGCACCCCCTCCTCCCTGCCCCAGTCTCCTGCACCCACCCCTCCCTCCACTCCCTGCATCCCAGGTTTCCCACCTGTGTCTTCTGGGACTTTGGAATTAGAGTGTCACCCTCCTGACCCCTGCCAACCAGCTTTGCCTAAGTTCCTTGGCAGGGCAGCAGGAGATTCTTACCCCCAACCCAAGGTCACTCAACTTGTTAGGGATCTCTTTCTTAGGAAAAGTCACCTGCCTACCACCTTCATTCCAAGGTTTATCAGACAGGTATGAAGCCTGTGAGTCTGGACTGTAAACCTCATGAGGGCAGGGAACAAGTGAGCCCTCTAATCATCTCCAGATACCTCCCTTGCCACAGGCGGGTACCTGCCACATAATCACCCCAACAGCTAATTCACAGATGGCTGTTTGCAGCACTTAACTGTCAGGCACTGTACTAGAACCTTTACTTGAATTACGTCTTGTGATCCTCCCCACAAGCTGATGAGGAAGGTGCGATTATCATTTCCGTTACAGGTGGGGAAACTGAGTCCCAGAGAGGCAAAGTAAGTTGTGTGCTCAGTGGCAGAGCTGGGACTTGAACCCAGCTGCCTGGCTGCCACACTGTGTCCCCTGGGCCCCCCTGGTTAAGCAGGGTTGGCTTTATCAGTAGCTACTTACCAGGGTGTCTGTCTGGGAGTCACTGACTCAGAGCAATTGACAGCCCAGACACAGCCCTGCCCTCCCCCAGCCACCCAGCTCCTCTGAGCAGAGCATTTAGGGAGACCTAAGCCAAGCCAGGGATAGCAATAGATGGTTCCTAAAAAAGAAGGTGCTGTTAGGAACCGCTAGCATTTATTGGGTTCCTTCCGCATGCCAACAGCTGAGCTAAACACTTGGCTTGCATATTCTCACGGAATCCCTCACAAAAACCCTTGCAGGGAAGAACTCCTATTTTTCACCTTGTACAGTGGAGAAATGGAAGCTCACACTGGCCGGGAGTGGGGGTCATTCAGCTAGGAAGTGGTGAGACAGGCATTTGATCTTCCAGCCCGAGCTCCTCAGGGATTTATTATCTGGTCTCTGGGGACCATCCATGCCCCTTCCACAAATACTTCCCCGTTCTGAGGTTGGCAGGACCCTGTGGAGGACACAGCTAGGATTCAGGCTCTTACAAAACTCCTCATCACTGTCTCAGCTAAGTGATGTCTCAAACAGTGCCCAGAAGAAGGAGTGGGACTCTGCCTTGAACAGTCAGAAAGGTCCTCCTGGGGCAAGGGACATTTGCACTGGGGTCTTGAAGAATGAGTAGGAGTTCAAGAGTTGAAGAGTGGCCGGGCACGGTGGCTCAAGCCTGTAATCCCAGCACTTTGGGAGGCCGAGGCGGGTGGATCATGAGGTCGAGAGTTCGAGACCATCCTGGTCGACATGGTGAAACCCCGTCTCTACTAAAAATACAAAAAATCAGCTGGGCATGGTGGCGTGTGCCTGTAATCCCAGCTGCTCGGGAGGCTGAGGCAGGAGAATTGCCTGAACCCAGGAGGCGGAGGTTGCGGTGAGCCAAGATGGTGCCATTGCACTCCAGCCTGGGTAACAAGAGTGAAACTCCGTCTCAAAAAAAAAAAAAAAAAAAAAAAGAGTTGAAGAGTGTTGCAGGCATCCATTTATATTCATTTATTCAACAAATATTTCCCAAGGCCTCTGGTGGGCAAGGGCCAGGGCCAGGGCCAGGGCCTGTGCTGGGAGATGCTGGGGACACACCAGGCTTTACCCTCAAGAAACTTCTAATCTGATAGGAAAGCCAGACATAGGCGGTCACCAGAGTGCAATGGACAATCCCCAGAGACCAGATAGTAAAGTCCTGAGGCGCCCAGAGTCCTGCCTTCCCTGCAGAGTCCACTCCCCACCCAAGTGACCAGATAATAAAGCCCTGGCCAGGCACTGTGACTCATGCCTGTAATCCCAACATGTTGGGAGGCTGAGGTGAGAGAATGGCTTGAGCCCAGGCGTTCTAGACCAGCCTGGGCAACATAGCAAGACCCCATCTCTTAAAAAAAAAAAAAAAAGCCAGGTGTGGTGGTGTGTGCCTGTAGTCCCACCTACTTGGGAGGTAGAGGTGGAAGGATTGCTTGTGCCCAGAAGGTTGAGGCTGCAGTGAGCCATGATCATGCCAATGCTCCCCCTATCCCATCAAAAATCCCTCCAGGCATTGCCAGATGCCCCATAGGGCATCAAGTGGCATCAAGTGGATTGAGACCAGAGACGAGACGCTGCCGACATCCTAGGTTGCACAGGACAGTCTGGCCCCAAACATCAGTAGCGCTGACGTTTAGGAACCCTGGCCCAGGCGGTGTCTCAGCAGGAGCATGGCAAATCCTGTGTGTGTCTGGGGGATAGGGCACGGTATGTGTGTGTCTGTCTTCACCAGCCTGGGAAGGGATCTTGGTGCATACGTGTGACTCTTTGGCAGCACTACCCGTGACTGCCTTTCAGTCCAGGTTTTTGTTGCTGACTTTCCAAATCCCTGCCTCTGCGTGTGTGTGTGTGTGCGTCCAGCCATGTGTGATCTGATCACAGGTGACAACATGACCTGATTCTCAGCCCAGCGTGGCCCCTTTGTGCTTGCGGGGATGTGTCAGTGTTACCGTCTTGTTACACGGGTTGTAGCTTTGTGTGCGTCTGACCCAGGGCCTTGCAAGGTGGGAAGTTGGGGAAATTGTGGTGCCCGGGCCAGTGGTGTCTCTGTAACCAGTTACGTTAGTAAGCATGCGTGTGTGTGTCTTGTGTGTGTGTTGTGTGTGTGTGTGTATTTGTGTGTGGTGTAGGAATGTAATTGTGTGTGGACTTTGCAGCCATGCATGGGGCTGCTGATGTCAGGAGAGCCATGTGGGAAATACTGTATACGGTGGGGTGACTCATGGTGTAGCTGTTGCTTGGCCTGGGACCGACCCTTTTGTCTGTCTGAATGTGACATTGGGCTGAATGTGACAATATGAGCGCTCCTGGGGCAGAGCCTCCTTTCCAGCTGACCTGCTGCTGGATGTCTGTGCGGAGCTGGGCGTGTCAGCATCACTACGTGTTCGCACCTGTCCCTCTGAGTGGGGCCATAGCCATGTGTGTGACTGAGAGGGTGGGACTGTCTCCTGTGTCTGTATGCATGTGACTGTGGGTGTGTGTCTGGGTGTGTCTGGGTGTAGCTAGAGCTGGTTGTGTCTGTATGACTGTGTGTGTACCTGTCTGGGTAAGGGCATAGCAAGTGTGGGGACTGTTTCTAGGACTGGAGGGGTCGCTGCCTTGTCCAAGCTGGGGTGTGTGTGTGTGTGTGTGTGCGCGCGTGTGTGTGGGTTTGCGCGCGTGCACATCCATCATCCACCCCCGAGCTGTCTCCTGTTGTTCCCAGGGCTGTATGTAGCAGTACCCACTGTGTTTATCTCGGGGAGGGTGAGCCCCGCTCCTCCATCCTCTTCAAATCCCAGCAGTGACTCTGGCATGAGGGAGCCCAGGGTGAGGGCTGCAGGGCTCAGCCTTGGCCAACCCACTGCACCTGGCTCCATCCTGGCCCCTTCCTGTGGGGCTGCTGATGGAGAGGGCCCCCGGGAGTCATTGGGGCAGCACGGGCCATTAATTCATTAGATTAATTAGCTTCTTGCCCTGGCTGGGGGCAGGGCAGCCCCGCATAGGCCCCTCCCGCTCCAGGAGTCCAAGGTCATCCAGCCGGCCTTCCTCCCTCTCCGCCTGGTGCCGGCTCCACCGCCTCCGCAGGCCCACCCCGCACTCCCTGGCCCTGGTCCAGCCCACTGGCCACAGTCTACAGAGAGATGACTGCATGGGGGTGATGGGGCCGGCCTGCCTGCTGAAGTGTGCGAGCGGGCGTGGGCACACACCTGCAAGTGTGCCCTGGCGAGCTTGGGCATACAGTGTGCCTGTGCCTGCGTAGATGTGTGTCTGTGAAGGTTCTCGCGCGTGTGTAAGGACGCGTGTCTGAGCACGCGCAAGGTTCTCGCGCGTGCGTAAGGACGCGTGTCTGAGCACGCGCAAGGTTCTCGCGCGTGCGTAAGGACGCGTGTCTGAGCACGCGCAAGGTTCTCGCGCGTGCGTAAGGACGCGTGTCTGAGCACGCGCAAGGTTCTCGCGCGTGCGTAAGGACGCGTGTCTGAGCACGCGCAAGGTTCTCGCGCGTGCGTAAGGACGCGTGTCTGAGCACGCGCAAGGTTCTCGCGCGTGTGTAAGGACGTGTGTCTGAGTATGTACACATGTGCATCTCTGTGTGCACGTTTGTATCTGTGTGTCTGCATCTCTGTGCACACGTGTTGAGTGTCTACATGCATCTGGTTTTGTGTGTATGTCTTTCAGTGCATTTCTGAGTTGATGTACATGTGCATCTGTGTTCTTGTGGGCCTGTGTGTATATATTTGTGTGTATTCACATAGATATGCGTGTTTCTGTGTGTATGCATATATACTATGCTCTCATCTGTGCATAGGTACATGTATGTCTGTACACTGTACCTGAAAATGTTCATGTACCCATGTACATGTATTTGTGTGTATGTATGTGTGTATACATGTATCTGTGCATATGAATTCTGTGTACGCAAGTATCTGTGTGTTGATTTACCTGTGTACATGTGTCTGTGCATGTGGACCATATATATGTATCTATGTCATTGGTTTTTTGAGATGAGTTTTGCTCTTCTTGCCCAGGCTGGAGTGCCATGGCATGGTCTTGGCTCACTACAACCTCCACCTCCCTGGTTGGAGTGATTCTCCTACCTCAGCCTCCTGAGTAGCTGGGATTACAGGCACCCACCACCAAGCCTGGCTAATTTTTTTGTATTTTTAGTAGCCACAGGGTTTCACCATGTTGGCCAGGCTGGTCTCAAACTCCTGATATCAGGTGATCCACCTGCCTTGGCCTCCCAAAGTGCCAGGATGACAGGTGTGAGCCGCCTCGCCTGGCCGTATCTATGTAATTGTTAATCTGCTCATATTGGTATGTGTGTCACTGTGCTCTGTATCTGTAAATTTATGTGTCCTATGTACAGAGGTATCTGTGTGTCTATGTGTCTGTGTGGATGTCTTACGTGTACATGTGTCTGTGTACACGTGTCTGCATACATGTTTGCATGTGTCTCTGTATGTATGTGTCTGTGTAAACATGCATCTGTGTTTGTGTGCTGTGATTGTCTCTGCATCTCTGGAGGTGTGCAGCTTTGTGTGTCCATGCGAGCCTAACCATCTGAGTCATGTGGGCTCATGGGAAGATACTCTCTCTGGGTCTCTGTCCCCCTCTCTCAGGGTCTCTGTCGCTTTCTGTCTGGGTCTCTGTCTCTCTCTTTGTGTGTGTGTGTCTCTGTCCCCTCTCTCTGGGTCTCTGCCCTCCTCTGTCTCTGAGTCTGTGTCCCCCTCTGTCTCTGGGTCTCTGTCTCTCTCTTTGCCTGTGTCTGCTCTGATTGTGTCTGCTGCGTGTGTATCTCTGGAAACATCAGTGCATGTGTGTGGCAGTGGGTGTAGGCGGTGTCTGTGCCTGCAAGGATGTGCGTGTGCATGTGGGCAGGTGCCACCATGACCGGGCTCTGCCTGAGCTGCCACGGCTAAGCCACCCCACCTTCCACAGGGCTGCTCTCCCAGAGCCTGGAGTTCAACTCTCCTGCCGACAACTACACAGTGTGTGAAGGCGACAACGCTACCCTCAGGTACCTCCCTCGGTGGGTGGGGACTCAGATCTGGAGCCACGGGGTCCTGCCCCTTTACCTTCGAAGCTTCACCCTCCTGGGTGGGGATCCTGGTTACAGGGACAGCCTGGGATGGGAAGACCTGGGCTCCACATTCCCCTCAGGAGCGACACACTCTGAGCTGGCTCCCCCTCGGCTTCGGGGTCCCCATCTGTCAAAGGGACAGAGATGTTAACTACCACTGAGTTATTACGAGGATTCAAGAATTTATGCACACACCACACTTAGAGAGCAGGATGACTCTTCAAACACGGCAGCCGGGGCACTGCTTCCCAGGTCTCCCCCTCTCTGGGTCTCTGTCTATCTCTCTCTCTCTCTCTGGGTATCCATCCCCCTTTGTCTCTGAGTCTCTGTCTCTCTCTCTGGGTCTCAGTCTCCGTGTGTGTGTGTGTGTTTCTGCCCCCTCTCTCTCTGGGTCTCTGTCCCCCTCTGTCTCAGGGTCTGTGCCCCCCCATCTCTCTGGGTCTCTGTCTTTCTCTCTGGGTCTCTGTCTATCTCTGTGTGTGTCTCTGTCCCTCTCTCTGTGGGCCTCTGTTCCCCTCTCTCTGGGGCCCTGTCCCTTTCGCTGGGTCTCTGTCTCCCTTTCCCTGGGTGTCTGTTTTTCTCTCTCTGGGTCTCTGTCCCCCTCTCTCTGGGTCTCTGTCTCTATCTGGGTCTCTGTCTCTGTGTGTGTCTGTATGTGTGTGTGTCTCTGTCCTCTCTCTCTAAGTCTCTATCCCCCTCTCTCTGGGTCTCTGTAGCTTTCTCTCTGGCTCTCTCTCTATCTCTCTCTGGATCTCCATCCCCCTTTGTCTCTGGGTCTCTGTCCCTCTCTCTGTCGGTCTCTGTCCTCTCTCTGGGGCTCTATCCCTCTCTGTCTCTGGGTCTCTGTCCCCCTCTCTCTGGGTCTCTGTCTCCCTCTCTCTCTGGGTCTCTGTCTCCCTCTCTCTTTGGGTCTCTGTCCCCCTCTCTCTGGGTCTCTGTCCCCTCTCTCTCTGGGTTTCTGTCCCTCTCTCTGTGGCTCTCTGACCCCTGTCTCTGGGTCTCTGTCTCCTTCCTTCTGCTTCTCTATTCCTCTCTCCCAGATCATCTGTTCTCCCCTTTCTGTGTCTCTGACACACACGATCATTCAATAACCACAAGCTATCCTTCCATTCTGCACTTGGGCTCACAGTTTCCTCCCTGAGACTCGGCTTACCCTGGCTGTGTGGTGGGCACAGCAGAATCCATCGCACAGGGCCGTGGTGGGACCTGGAGATGTGGTGGCCTCCTTCTCCCTCCCACCCCTTTGGCTGCAGAAGGCTCAGGCTGGGTGAGTGAAGAACCTTCCCACGCTCTTGCTCCCCGCAGCTGCTTCATTGATGAGCATGTGACCCGCGTGGCCTGGCTGAACCGCTCCAACATCCTGTACGCTGGCAACGACCGCTGGACCAGCGACCCGCGGGTGCGGCTGCTCATCAACACCCCCGAGGAGTTCTCCATCCTTATCACCGAGGTGGGACTCGGTGATGAGGGCCTCTACACCTGCTCCTTCCAGACCCGCCACCAGCCGTTCACCACTCAGGTCTACCTCATCGTCCACGGTGAGCCCTCGGCCGGGGCTCAGCTGGGTGGAGGGGTGGAGAGCCTCGGGGAGACAAGGCATGAGGACAGATACTCACCAGGTGTTCTCCAACCCCGGGGTACATGGCGAGGAAGACAGATGCAGCCTTGCCCTTGGGGATTTCAGCACAGCAGAAGGAGGCTGGTCACACAGACAGCGACACACCTGCTTGATCGCTTCTAGGGCAGGAGAGCTACAGGGATGATGGGGTGCTTGGGGGAAGAACACGTTCATTAGTTCTGCCCCATTCCTGGAGTGCCTACTCCGTGCAAGCATTGACCTAGGCACCAGGGCTACAGAGCAAGGCAGGCTGTCCTGCGCCTTGGGAGCTGATTTTCCAAGGAGAGCCTGGTGGCCGGGGTGGGGGAGGGGGCTTTCCAGATGTGACGTCTGAACTGACGCCTTTGGCTGGGCACAGGGCTAAGACCAGAAAAGCAACAGTGTGTGCAGGGGCCAGGCGAGAAAATGAGCCAAGGGTGTGAAGCGAAGTCCCATGACGCTGGAAGTGCCAGATCCACAGCAAGAGAGACGGGGCTGGAAAGTTCCAGAGCAAGGCAGGAGGCAGAGGGAGAGGTGCAGAGAGCGGTCAGGACCCGGCTCCTGAGGCATCTGAAACGGTAGAGAACAGGGAGCATCTAGACAGACAGGACCTGGAGACAGGGAGAACGCAGGGGGATCCCGGCAGGCTCCAACTCTGCAGCCAAACTGCCTGGGTTCCAACCTCAGCACGCTGTCCACCAGCCCAGGGACCCTGAGCAGGAGGAGAGGCCCTGGACTCCTCCTTTGCAAAATGGGGATGGTGCTGTCGTACGTCAAATCCCAGATGTCATCAATTAGAAGAGCCATTTTTTTTTTTTTTTTTTTTTTTTTTTTTTTTGAGACGGAGTTTCGCTCTTGTTACCCAGGCTGGAGTGCAATGGCGCCGATCTCGGCTCACCGCAACCTCCGCCTCCTGGGTTCAGGCAATTCTCCTGCCTCAGCCTCCTGAGTAGCTGGGATTACAGGCACGCACCACCATGCCCCGCTAATTTTTTGTATTTTTAGTAGAGACGGGGTTTCACCGTGTTGGCCAGGATGGTCTCGATCTCTTGACCTCGTGATCCACCCGCCTCAGCCTCCCAAAGTGCTGGGATTACAGGCTTGAGCCACCGCGCCCGGCTAGAAGAGCCATTTTTACTTTATGCCCTGCTAGAAAAGAAAAGAAAAAAAAAGCCCTACTAATGACACCCTGGCATCTTATCTCGAAGGGCCATCCTGCTTGGAGAAATGTTCAAATGGCGGGGAGGGGCAGGGAAGCACAGACATGTCTTAGAATTGATCAAATACAGTAACATCCACCCCAGAGGCTGGTAGTGAGCGTCCAATCAATGGATTTTGCCAAAGCACTTCGAATAGAATCTGTCACACAGAAAGTTCCATGCGGGTATTTGTTAAATAAATTAATTTAACAATTTAATAATAATAAATACAAATAGAGACAGAGAAAGGAATTCAGACCCCAAGATGGAGAAACCAAGTTAGGATGAAGGTGGAGAGAGAATAGAGACAAGACCAGCAATTAGACAAGAAGCAGCCAGCCCCAGACAGGTTTCAGAGAAAATAGCAGAGACTCCTGGGTCTGAGGGAGGAGGGGCTGGGGTCCTGAATTCCTGGGTCTGAGGGAGGAGGGGCTGGGGGCCTGGACTCCTGGGGCTGAAAGAGAAAGGGCTGGGGGCATGGATTCCTAGGCGTTCATGTTCAGCCTCTCCCGCTGCCCGCAGTCCCTGCCCGCATTGTGAACATCTCGTCGCCTGTGACGGTGAATGAGGGGGGCAATGTGAACCTGCTTTGCCTGGCTGTGGGGCGGCCAGAGCCCACGGTCACCTGGAGACAGCTCCGAGGTGAGGACCCCATCCCAGGCCGAAAGCCCGGTCCCCTACTGCGCAGTCTGGGCCCCTCCATTCCCCATATCCCTAGCTAGTTTCCCAAGCCCGCTTATCCCTGGCCCCTTGGCTTCCCCTCCCACCCTGCTTCCAGTTATCTCATCCACAGACCCCAGATCCAAGAGGCTTCACCACTGGCCTGCAACCTGCCATCCCAGGCCTGGGCCACTGCTTTTGCATCACTTCCCCAACCCCAGTGTCCTCCAGGTCTCCCCACTCAGGCTAAAAAAAGTCCCCTGCCCCTGGACGCCCTAAGCCAGGCTGCACTAGCAGTCTCGCATACATCTCTACCTCTCTTCTGCTGGATACTCTAGCCCAGGGGGCCTCACGGTATGGACCCCAGATATGAAGCATCAGCATCCCTTGGGAACTTGCCAGGAATGCACTTTCCCAGGCTCCAGCCAAGACCCGCTAAATCCAAAGCTCCGTCCCCCTCAACAAGCCCCAAGAACCAGTGCTCAAGGCTACCCACAGACAGCGCCAGGGGGCCCGTACGTGACAGGCCAGGTCCTAGACATCACCCATCACCTCTTTTATGTGGATCTCCACCAGCAGATCCCAGACCCCTGGATCCTCATTCTCCAGGTCTTCGAAGACCCATGGTGCCGACCACTAGATTCCATTCCCTGAATCCCTGGATCCTGCCCCACTGGGTCATTTGAGTCCCATGATCCTGGTCTTGAGATCCGGGATCTCTGGGTGCTCTAAGTCCCAGAGAGTCTTCTGAGACTGCTGCTCTGTTGTATTTGGATTGCTGATCCCAATCACCAGATTCTGATTCCCTAGACCCCATGAACCGGATCCCAGAAGGAGGACTCTGCTCCACTGGCTCTGTACTTACTAGATCCTTCTGAGACCTACGACCCTGGGATCACCCTCCCCATTGGGGTCCTCCCCATGGAGCCCCATGATCTGAGTCAGATTCCTGGAGGGATCTCCTGAACCCTCAGATTCTCTGATCCACCCCCCTGGGTTCCAGATACTGAATCCCAGACGCTCATTCCTTCCCCCACCCCGACTTGGAGAGATCCCAAACCCCCAGCCCCGCAGCCCCTCCCCCACCCCGCCCCCATTGACCCGGGCACTCCAGGCCTTGCCGTGCCCGCCCCGCTGATGTGTGTCCGTGTTGTGCCCGTGTTGTCCCGTGTTAAGTGTTTGTGTCCGGCCCTGCCCCCTCCTCCTCCTTCCCCCCACAGACGGCTTCACCTCGGAGGGAGAGATCCTGGAGATCTCTGACATCCAGCGGGGCCAGGCCGGGGAGTATGAGTGTGTGACTCACAACGGGGTTAACTCGGCGCCCGACAGCCGCCGCGTGCTGGTCACAGTCAACTGTGAGCTCCCCGCACCCCCAGCACTGGGCACGAAAGGGTGGCGGAACCCCGAGTCCCTGGGGAGGAGGGGTCTGAGGGAGGAGGAAGCCCGGGGCAAGGCCTCTCGGCCTGAGGGAGACGGGGCTGGGGGCGGGACTCCTTCTGTCCCCACGCGGCTAAGAGAATTCGCTGACCCTCGCCCCTCACCAGATCCTCCGACCATCACGGACGTGACCAGCGCCCGCACAGCTCTGGGCCGGGCCGCCCTCCTGCGCTGCGAAGCCATGGCGGTGCCCCCCGCAGATTTCCAGTGGTACAAGGACGACAGACTGTGAGGATAGCACTGAGGGGGGCTGTGGGAGAGGCAGGGGGAGGTCCTTAGTCCCTTGGGTTGTGGGGCAGGGGGGTGGAGGGGGGCGGGGGGGGCAGCAGAGCTCTGGGTGCCTGGAATTGGTGCGTCCAGCTTCTAGGTGATGGGATCTGAGCAGCGCCAGGGAGACAAGCTTGGGTCCCAGGGTGATGAATGCTGGAGCCCCGTCTCCCTGGACTTTTCAGGGAGCTGGTCAGGGGTCAGGGGTCAATGCTGAGGATCTGTCCGGCAAGGTTTAGAGGAGCAGCAGAGTTCGGGAGTCCCTAGCGGCTGGGGGTGCACCCTGGGAGAGTCCAGGGTCCCTGAGAGGCCAGGGTGCCTGGAGAGAGGCAGCGGTGGGAGTCACCCCGGGTCCATGAGGCGAGAGGTCCCTGGGGTAGGGGGCAGAATGCCGGCTCTCCGGGAAACCGAGGAGCCTGAGAGGCAGGGGGCGGGCCTGGCTGGGCACTGCAGCCCAGCCCCTGACCCGGATCCCCGACAGGCTGAGCAGTGGAACGGCCGAGGGCCTGAAGGTGCAGACGGAGCGCACCCGCTCGATGCTTCTTTTCGCCAACGTGAGCGCCCGGCATTACGGCAACTACACGTGTCGCGCCGCCAACCGGTTGGGAGCGTCCAGCGCCTCCATGCGGCTGTTGCGTGCGTCTGGGGGCGGGGCGGGGGGCGGAAGGTGGGCGGGGAAGGGGCGGGGAAGGGGCGGGAAGGTGGGCGGGGCAGGGAAGGTAGAGACCGCCCCTCAGGCTGACCCTGAGCTTAGGAGACCGACTCTGAGACTGAAAAGCACTGCCAGTAAGAAACCGATCCACGCAATCAGCATTCCTTGAGCGCCAGCTAAGGGTTGGGCGTGGGGGACACAGCTGTGCACAAAAGAAACGAGGTCTGTGCATTTGCAGAGCTTATGGTTAGTAGGAGTAGAAAAGCAATAAACAAACAAGTGGACATGTAGATAAATAAGCAAACACATATATAAACAAAAAATAGTTTTGGAGGTCGGGGGTGGTGGCTCACACCTGTAATCCTAGCACTTTGGGAGGCCAAGAAGGGAGGATCACTTGAGCCCAGGAGTTTGAAACCTGCCTTGGCAACATAGTGAGACCCCCATCTCTACCAAAAAAAAAAAAAAAAAAAAAAAAAAAAAAAAATTAAAAATCAACCTAACTAGGTGTTGCACGCCTATAGTCCCAGCTCCTCAGGAGGCTGAGGTGGGAGGATTGCTTGAGCCTGAGAGGTCCAGGCTGCAGTGAGGTATTATGACTGCACCACTGCACTCTAGCCTGGGGGACAGAGCAAGACCTTGTCTCAATAAAATAGAGGAATGGGGTGGTGGCAAGATGCAGGCAGGGAGATGAGGGAGGAGGCTGCTGTAGTCATCAGGTAAGGGATGGCAGTGAGTGGCACCAAGTCTCTGTATTGAGAGACTTTTGGAGGTGGTGCTCCTAGGACCAGTCATTAGACTGGATGTGGAGGGCTGATGGAAGAGGAAAGTCGAGTCAAAGATAGTTCTGAGGTTTTGGCCTGAGGAGCTGGGTGGATGGGGCTGTACATTGAAGTACTGATACAGAGAAGTGATTAGGAGGGAGGCTGGAAGCCACTGTGTGGGGAGGAAAGTGTGGGAGGCAGTAGTTTGGGGCATGCTGAGTATAAGATGACTCGCAGAAATGCCAGATAGACAGACTCTGCAAGATAGGAAGGCAGACACTGAGAGTCCCAGGCTAAGACAGTGAAAAAGAAGTGAAGATCTGATCACTTCTAGAAACATTCTGGGCGCAGTGGCTCACACCTGTAATCCCAGCACTTTGGGAGGCCAAGGCAAGCTGATCACTTGAGGTTGGAAGTTTGAGATCAGCCTGGCCAATACGGCGAAACCCCATCTGTACTAAAAAAAAAAACACAAGAATTAGTCAGGTGTGGTAGTGGGCACCTTTAGTCCTAGGTATTCAGCATGCTGAGGCAGAAGGATTGCTTGAATCCAGGAGGCAGAGGTTGCAGTGAGCCGAGATTGCGCCACCACACTCCAGCCTAGGTGACAGAGCAAGACTGTCTCAAAAAATAGTAATAATAATTAAAAAATAATAATAATAAAAGCCAGGCTCAGTGGCTCACACCTGTAATCCCAGCACTTTGGGAGGCTGAGGCAGGCGGATGACGAAGTCAGGAGATCGAGACCATCCGGGCCTATGTGGTGAAACCACATCTCTACTAAAATACAAAAACGTAGCCAGGTGTGGTGGTGTGTGCCTGTAATCCCAGCTACTTAGGAGGCTGAGGCAGGGAAATTGCTTGAACTGGGGAGGCAGAGCTTGCAGTGAGCCAAGATCACACTCCACTGCACTCCAACCTGGCAACAGAGCAAGACTCCATCTCAAAAAAATAATAAAATTAAAAAATAAAGTAGGCCGGGCGCGGTGGCTCAAGCTTGTAATCCCAGCACTTTGGGAGGCCGAGGCGGGTGGATCACGAGGTCGAGAGATCGAGACCATCCTGGTCAACATGGTGAAACCCTGTCTCTACTAAAAATACAAAAAATTAGCTGGGCATGGTGGCACGTGCCTGTAATCCCAGCTACTCAGGAGGCTGAGGCAGGAGAATTGCCTGAACCCAGGAGGCGGAGGTTGCGGTGAGCCAAGATCGCGCCATTGCACTCCAGCCTGGGTAACAAGGTCTCAAAAATAAATAAATAAATAAAAATTTAAAAAATAATAAAAATAAAATAAAATAAAAGAGTCAGAAAAGCAGGCACACCTAGTGAGAGATCCAAAAAGGCCCCTAAAGAGGTGGGTTCAGAAGAGACAGTCCCCCTGGAGAAACACACAAGGGGTCCCCCACTGTCAGGCCTCCCTCCATGACCCCCTTTCTCTTCCCACAGGCCCAGGATCCCTGGAGAACTCAGCCCCGAGGCCCCCAGGGCCCCTGGCCCTCCTCTCCGCCCTGGGCTGGCTGTGGTGGAGAATGTAGGCGCAACCTAGTGGAGCTCGCCTCCCCCTGCAGGGGGCCTCAGGCCAAGAGTGAGAGAAAAGGGGGAGCAGGAGCCATGGGTCTCGTGGGGGCAGAAGAGCTCTCGGTCACTGAGGAAGAAGAGGAGAGGAAGAGGAGGAGGCAGAGGAAGAAAGATCTTTAGAGAACCCATCACTGTGAGGGATAACGCAAAATTATGCATCTTTCTACAGCCATTCTCGCCACCCGTTCACGTTTCCGATTGTGACCCACTCCCGCCACCCCATACCCCTCTCTCTTAGCTCAGGCTGTCAACTGGCTCGTGTGGGTGTGACTGTGTGAGTGTGAGCCTGCATGCGTGTGTAGGTGTCTGTGTCTGTGTGTGTGTGGGTGGGTGGGCTGGGGGAGGGGACTCAGCCGTCCTCCCACCCCCGACGCCCCCGTGTCCACTGTCCCCAACCCTACTGCCTCTCACCTCTGGCTGGAGGTAGGTGTGGGGCTCTGCAGTGGAAGCTGTGAAGAGAGGCTTACCAGGCTCCCTGCTTCCCAATATATGCACGCACACGGACCCTCCCCCTGTTGAAAGGGCATCTCCTGGCAGGTTGGGAGTGGAGAGAGGTGTTGCATTCACTTGTCAAGCTGTCGTTCAGCCTTTGTGAGTAAGTGGGGGACCTCCATCCGGGCTCTGGGCTTCCCTGCTGTCAACCACCAGCTTCCTGTAGCCAGAGGCCCCATTGCTGGCTCAGTAGCCTGAGACCTTCCCACTCTCCCTGTCCCTCCCCACCCTGGATTTTCTGGCCCCCTCCCGGGCCAATCGGTGCTTCCATCCAACTGTCAGACTGGTGGCAGGAGTTGCCTGTCTGTTTCAGTGCTTTGCCCTACCCCTGCCACCACTCCCCTTGGCCTTGACTTCCCCACCTGTGGCACCAGCCAGCTGCCCTTGGGGCCTTTGCAGCCGGCCCACAGGTGTGGGCTTGCTGATCTATCACTCCCTGGCCTCTCTACCAACTGTACCTCCCAAAGGCTACCTGACCGCCCTCACACACACACACACACACACACACACACACACACACACCAGCGACTGTGACCAGCAATAGCACCCTGGCTCCAGCTGTCCTGTAGCTGGTGACTAGCTGTAGTTCCTCCTGGGTAGGCATCTGTTGTCAGGAAGCGAACGCTGAGAGGCTGCAGCCTCAGCTCTGATTGTAGGAATACTCCACCCTGGTACACCACACCACACCAAGTGGGGGACAGAGACGCATCACACAGACATCCTGAGCCCAGACACAGATGCCATGTCAACAGCTCTGACTCCCAGGAGACCCTCTATATAAACACCCACCCCAAACCACACCACCCAGAGTCCGGTGGAGAAGAGGAGAGGGCAAGGCGCAGTGACTGTACCTCAGACAGGGGCACGGGCCCCATCCCACATTGTCTTCCATTCCCAGGGTCCAGGGGATGGGGTGGGACTGGGGAGGGATGTCAGGGAGGGGGTGGGGGGCCCTGGGGGCCGTGTGTTCCAATTCATGGGGAGTGTTGAGACCACCACACCAATAAACGCCTTTTTCCAAAGTCTGCCTGCAGGTGTCAATATCATTAAGGATTTCAGTTAATGAAGGGCAAAGGGGAGCAGTCAATTGGTTCCTCTCCAGCATCCTTCCTACCACCTACTTTCTCATCGGTAGGCTTGGAATTGACTCATTACAGAGATGCCCTGTGATTGGCCTAAGCCACTCAGCATGTCCCATTTCCCCACCGTGATTGGCTCAGAGATGGGCACATGACCCAGTAAGGCTAATGAGAAAGTGAATGCATTCCTGAGAAGAGATGCTTTTCTGCTGGATACTGTGGCTCTGTGATGTGAGGTCTATAGCTGTAGGGTTGCTTTTCTCCATCACATGGAGACATCTTGGGTCTGTGGGGATAGCAGTGGTAAAGAAGACAGCATATGGAGCCTGAGAATAATAGGAACACTAAGAAGTGCAGAGTGGAAACCTTAGAGAAACTGAGTCCATGATGGTATCATTTGAGCAGCTGGATCAAAACTTAACTGATGCCCGTATCTTCATTTATGTAAGCAATAAAGTCCCCTGTATATTTAAACCAATTTGCACTGGGTTTTCTATCTCTGGTAACAAAAAGGAAAATGAAAACGAAATAGATACAGAAGAGACGTAGAGGGCCCAGAACTCCAGCCCTCACCTATCCAAAAGGACGCGGGGGTTCTATTTCCCAATTGGCCCTTTCTACCCTATTCATTGAACAGAAGTTCTCACATGACTTCCTTCCCTGAGACACATGCTGGGTGCCCACATTTGAGTTGTTTGGTTCCTTATTCTTTGCTGGCAGATCCACCTGTTACGATACAGGCTAGAGATTTGGTTTCCCAGCCTCCTTTGCAGCTATGTGGTCAATATGGGTCAAAGAGACTTAAAGGGAAGTTCGCTTGTAGGTTTCCAGGAAAGCCCTCCTCTCACCCCATGAGAGAGGAGGAGGCAGTGATAGGGGGAGGTAGAGGGGTGGGGAAGATATATAGGAAGGAAGTTCTGCCTCCTTCAGTTTATCTTTGGATACAGTGGTATGAGGATGTGATGACTGGAGCTGCGGCAACCATCTTGCTACATGAGGCAACATGCTTGGAGACAATGTGCCAACCCACTGAGGGTGGCAGAGCAGATGGATGCAAAGGACCCATGTCTTTAAAGGCATCACTGAGTTGCTGAGCCAGCCTGAAACCACCCACCTCCATATTCCTTGCCAGCATTTTATTTTGTTCCTTGCAGTCAAAAGAATCCTCACCAATGCACTCTCTAAATTCTCAATTAGAAACTCAGCTGAAAATGCATAACTTAGGCTGAAGACAGCAGTAGCAAGCCCAACTCTTCACTGGCATCAAAACATTTGATCAGTCAACTAACATTTATTGATTGCCTGCTATGTGCCAGGGTCTGGGTTAAGTGCTGAGATAATGAAGTGGTCTCTGCTTTCATGAAGCCCTTAGTTTAGAGAGAGCGTCTGAGGCCACACAAGTTAATTACACATTTATGTATCAGGAACGGCAAATTCAAGGATTCTGGGACTTAACCCAAGACTAAGGGAGGGGTAAGGGAATCGTCATCGGAGATGGCAACTGTGACCCTTAGACTTGAGAAATGAATAACATACGGGAAAAAGAAGCGTTCAAAGCAGAGCAAATTCTAGGGGCAAAATGAACTGCGGCCAAGAGACAGCCTGTGATACTGGAGTCCAGGGGCAGAGAACATCTTGGGAAGGGAGGTCAGGGAGGCCGACAACAGCCAGACCAAAAGGCTTTGAAGGTCATGACGAAGACTTTGGGTAGTATCTGAAGGGAAAGGCACAGGCCACAGAAGGGTTGAAAGAGAAGAGGAACGTGATCTGATCTGTTTTCAAGATGAAGATGCTGGGAGCTGGATGGGGTGTGGCCTACAGGTGGCAAAGTGAACGTAGAGGGATCTTTTCAGAGAACAAGGCCAAGCGCCCTTCTAGTTCAGAGCGACACAGCAAGCCCCGCCTGTCTGCTTCAGGGCCTTGGGGGTTGTGCAAACCACACCGTTAGATCAGCAGGACTTTCCCAGCCACGCAGTCACATCTCCTTACTTGCACAAATACAGGAAGACTCCTCTTCTGCAGCATGAGAGGGAGACAGAAAGTCCCACTTTCAGGGTCCAACCATCAGTCACAGCAGGCCCTGCCTGCTGCTGGAGTGACATAGGAAGTTCTGGCCCAAAATGCCCTGTGCAGGGCAGGCCACTGGCTCTGATCACACCTGCGTGGCTGCCCGAACAGTCTTTGGGCCTCCACCTACAGAGGCAACTGGACTGGGGTCTATGGCCTGGAAGAGAGAGGTGGGGTGGGGGGATAACTCAGTAGGTGCCCTGGATGTGACATGATTCACCCAACCTAACTTTTTCCAGCTATTGCTTGAACTTTTTAGAAATTATCTGAGCACCCTCCATTTGCAGAAGGAAAAAAAAAATATCTGGCTATCTTTGGTGGAGCTAAGCCAGGCAACAACTCAGTTTTTTGTTTTTGTTTTTGTTTTTTGAGACAGGGTTTCGCTCTGTCATCCAGGCTGGAGTGCAGTGGTACCGTTATAGCTCACTGCAGCCTTGACCTCTCAAGCCCAAGCAATCCTCCCACCTCAGTCTCCCTAGTAGCTGGGACTATAGGCAGGTGCCACCATGCCCGACTACTTTTAAATTTTTTCATAGAGATGGGGTCTCCCTATGTTGCCCAGGCTGGTCTCGAACTCCTAGGCTCAAGTGATTCTCCCACCTCAACCTCCTCAAGTGCTGGGATTACAGGCATGAGCTACCACGCCCAGTCACAACAACCCCACTTTTATGGGGAAACAGGAAAACTGCACACCACTTCATAGACAAAAATCGACCTTATCCAATTTTTATCGAAAAGAAAAAAGGAGGGGCCGGGAACAGGGGCTCAGGCCTGCGATCCCAGCACTTTGGGAGGCTAAGGTGGGCAGATCACTTGGGGTCAGGAGTTCGGGACCAGGCTACCTACCATGGTGAAACCCCATCTCTACTAAAAGCATAAAAATTAGTTGCATGTGGTGGTACATGCCTGTAATCCCAACTATTCAGGTGGCTGAGGCAGGAAAATTGCTTGAATCCGGGAGGCGGGGGCTGCAGTGAGTGGAGACGGCACCACTGTACTCCAGCCTGGGCAACAGAGCCCGACTCTCTCTCAAAAAAAAAAAAGAAAAGAAAAAAAAAAAAAAAAGAAAAAAAAAGAAAAAAGGAAAAAAAAAAAGCGCTAGGCGAGGTGGCTCACGCCTGTAATCCCAGCACTTTTGGAGGCCAAAACCAACAGATCACAAGGTCAGGAGATCGAGACCATCCCTGGCCAACATGGTGAAACCCCATCTCTACTAAAAAGAACAAAAAAAAATGAGCCGGGCATGGTGATGCGCGCCTGTAATCCCAGCTACTTGTGAGGCTGAGGCAGGAGAATCACTTGAACCCGGTAGGCAGAGGTTGCAGCGAGCCGAGATCATGCCATTGTACTCTAGTCTGGGAGACAGAGTTAGACTCCATCTCAAAAAAAAAAAAAAAAAAAAGGATATCCTACCTCATCCTCCTTTGGAAGAGAAACGAATTCACTTATCTTAATATACATCAAAGTTGGGCAGGAAGCTCTGTCCAACTATGATGCGTTTTTAAAAAGGATAGTTATACAGACTGTAAACTAACAACTAAAACTGGAGTAAGATAATTGAGACCCTCTCATCTCCCTGATGATAATACAAGAAGTTCCGCCCTGATTCCAGAAGGAAATGGGGGCACCCACACTCACCTGGTGGGCCCTAATTGGGCTGTGGTCCTCCAGTGGGACTTTGAAGTCCAGAGGCCATGAAATCTCCACTGGGGTCACCCTGTGCGTCTTCTTTTCTGAGGGGGTGACCACGGGGACCAAGGTAGACGGGTGCTGCTTTTTCTCAGGGGTCTTTCCTGATTGAGAGGAGGAGGAAAAGCAGGAACACGTGATTGGCTGCCCCAACATGCCAACCCAGCCAATAGCAAGGGACGCTGATCTGGGAGGCGGAGCCTAATGCTAATTGGCTGATTTGGGGGTAGGAAGGCAGGATGGATGACCTATGATGGGGCGCTGGTTGGCTCAGCCAGGTCATCTACGGGCCTCTTTCTAGGGTCCCTCCCGGTTGGCTGTGATTGCCCCTTCCCCGGTCCCCTAGCTCACCCCGAAAGCGGCACAGGCAGCAGATGCAAAGGAGGAGGAGTGCGGCCAACAGCGCCAGGCCCAGTAGGGAGCCCAGAACGATGCCAGCGATGGCCCCGTGGCTCAACGTGGGCCCTGGAAGAGACAAAGAGAAAGGAGAGAAGGGGAGCAGGAACCAAGGTTGGACCCAGGTTTCCTAAGCCCCCTAACTTTGTACGGGGACCCAGGAGTCCGGCCCCCCTGCCCCTCCCCTCCCAGAACCCAGGAATGTGGGACCCCAGCACTCTCATTTAACAGTTACTGAGTGACCATGGTGTGCCTGGCTCTCGGCCAGGTAACAGGGATTCATTAGTGGGCCAAAGGGGAAAGATACCTACCTTTGTGGGCTTAATTCTAGAAGTCAGAAATAAATGAGTGACACATAACATCATCACAGATTGTGCCAAGAAAGAAAAAGTGATGTGATGGAGACAATGGGGGTCGGGCGTGGTGGCTCACACCTGTGATTCCCAACACTGTGGGAGGTCAAGGTGGGTGGACCACTTGAGCCCAGGAGTTGCAGACCAGCCTGGGCAACATATTGAGACCCTGTCTCTGCAAAAAGAGAAAAACTAATCAGGTGAGGTGGCCAGGCCTGTAGCCCTGTAGCTACTCAGGAGACTGAGGTAAGAGGATCACCTGAGTTTGGGGAGGTTGAGGCTGCAGTGAGCCCAGATCACGCCACTGCACTCCAGCCTGGGCCACAAAGTGAGGCCTTGTCTCAAAGAAAGAAAACAAACAAAGAAAATACAAAAAAGTAATAGTGGGAAGGGATGTGACATTTAGTAAGAGTGATGAGGCCGGGCGCAGGTGGCTCAAGCCTGTAATCCCAGCACTTTGAGAGGCCGAGGCGGGTGGATCACGAGGTCGAGAGATCGAGACCATCCCGGTCAACATAGTGAAACCCCATCTCTACTAAAAACACAAAAAATTAGCTGGGCATGGTGGTGCGTGCCTGTAATCCCAGCTACTCAGGAGGCTGAGGCAGGAGAATTGCCTGAACCCAGGAGGCGGAGGTTGCGGTGAGCCGAGATCGCGCCATTGCACTCCAGCCTGGGTAACAAGAGCGAAACTCCATCCCCAAAAAAAAAAAAAAAAAAAAAAAGAGTGATGAGCTAAAGTCCCTGAGAAAGTAACATTTGAAAGAGACTTGAAGAATAAAGACCAGAGGCAGTCATATAAACCTGGGGAAAGGACGTAAAATGCAAAGGCCCAGAACCAGGAAAGAGCTTTCTCTGTTCAACGAAGGCCAGTGTGGGTGGATGATACGGAAGGAGGGGGCTGGAGGCGGAGGGTGAAGTAGAAAAGGTTTCCAGGAACCAGATCCTGAGAGGGTCCTGCAGAAATTAATGGAAGGCTTTTATATAAGGCAGCCGCATGATCTGATTTCCACAACTTTGGCTTCTACATGGAGAATGGATTATAGGCGAGCAAGAGGGAATGTAAAGAGACTAGATAAACAGCTGTTGCAGTCCAAGCGAGAGAGGATGCTGTCTTTGACCAGAGGCTTGGAGTGAAGATGAAAAATATTTTGGAAGGAAAATGGACTGAACTTGCTGGCAATTAGGATGTTGGGGTGATGTGGCCTGTGAGTAGTGACATTTATGAGGATGGGGAAGACCAGAGGGTTGGGAGATGCAATTTTGAGGGAAAACATCAAGAGGTCTGTTTTGGACACATGACATTTGGGATGATAACTGGACATCCAAAGTAAAGATCCTGGCTGGGCATGGTGGTTCATGCCTCTAATCCCAGCACTTTGGGAGGCCGAGGCGGGTGGATCACTTGAGGTCAGGAGCTCAAGGCCAGTCTGGCCAACATGGCAAAACCCTGTATCTACTAAAAATACAAAAAAAAATTAGCCAGGCATGGTAGCTCACACCTGTAATCCCAGCTACTTGGGAGGCTAAGGCAGGAGAATTGCTTGAACGCAGGAGGCAGAGATTGCAGTGAGCTGAGATCACGCCATGGCACTCCAGCCTGGGTGACAGTGAGACTCTGTCCCAGGAAACAAACAAACAAAAAACTGAATTATCTTAAGTAGGGAGCATCCTTTTCAAGAGAGAAGTCAGGGCTGAGGTTAAGACGTTTGGGAGTCATCTGAGTATGGAAGGCCATGAGAGTGAGCACAATCGCTTTCGGGAGTGAGGATGAAATCCTGAGATACTCCAGTGGAGGAGTGTTATCAGCTGAATTGTGCCCACCCTAAAAGAAAAACACATGTTGAAGTCCTAACCCCTGTTCCTGTGAATGTGACTTTATTTTGGAATAAGGTCTCTGAAGATGTAACCAAGACAATTTGAAGTCATGAGGTAGACCCTAATCCAATATAACTGATGTCTTTAGAAGAAGAGGAGAGAAAGAGGCCGGGTTCAGTGGCTCACACCTGTAATCCCAACACTCTGGGAGGCTGGGGTGGGTGGGTCACCTGAGGTCAGGAGTTTGAGACCAGCCTGGCCAATATGGTGAAACCTCATCTCTACTCATAACACAAAAATTAGCTGGGCGTGGTATCACATGTCTGTAATCCCAGCTTCTAGGGAGGCTGAGGCAGGAGAATCGCTTGAACTCAGGAGGCGGAGGCTGCAGTGAGCTGAGATCGTGCCATTGCACTCCAGCCTCGGCAACAAGAGTGAAACTCTATCTCAAAAAAAAAAAAAAAAAAGAGGACAGAGACACACACAGGGAAAAGCAAGCTGTGGGAACCTGGAGGCAGAGGTTGAAGTGATGCAGCTGTAAGCCAAGGAATGTCAAGGAGAAAACAGCTGCCACCAGGAGCTAAAAGGAGACAAAGGAGGATTCTACACAGCATCTCAGAGGGAGCAGGACCCTGTCAACACCTTGATTTTAGACTTCTGACCTCCAGACCTGGGAGAGAAGAAATTCCTGTTGTCTCAAACCATGCAGTTCATGGTACTTTGTTAGGGCAGGCCCCAGGACTCTACAACAGGGAGAGAGGGAGGATCTGGCACAACAGACTGAGAGTGGCTAACTGGACTACCAGGAAGCCCAGGAGAAAGTACTGACAGCCCCAACTCACTCACCGGCTCGGTAGACCCGGCTTTGTGATGGAGTCCCTGGCTGGTCCCCCAGCATGGGCAGAATCCGAAAAGTCCAGGTCCCTGGGTTCCGAGATGGAAGTGGCACCACGGCTGACCGCTCCTGAGGCCCCAGGATGAGCAGGGAGACCCAGTCCTTGTAGGTAGAAGTCCTGCCCAGATTAGGCCCATCTGGCCATGCCTGGATCTCAAAACTGCTGATCAGGGCCCCTCGCTCCACATCCCAGGTCAGCACGGCTGCATCTCGGGCTCTTTGAAGCCTCCACGAGGATATGGAGGGTCCTAGAGAGATGTGGGGGAGGCTGGATTCATGGGTCCCAGAGGGGAGAGGGAAGGGAGGCAGGGAGCTGTGGTCCTGGGTCTGAGGGAGGAGGGGCTGGGGGCCTGGACTCCTGGGTCTGAGGGAGGAGGGGCTGGGGGCCTGGACTCCTGGGTCTGAGGGAGGAGGGGCTGGGGGCCTGGGCCCCTGAGTCTGAGGGAGGAGGGGCTGGGGCTTGGACTCCTGGGTCTGAGGGAGGAGGGGCTGGGGGCCTGGACTCCTGGGTCTGAGGGAGGAGGGGCTGGGGGCCTGGGCCCCTGAGTCTGAGGGAGGAGGGGCTGGGGGCCAGGACTCCTGAGTCTGAGGGAGGAGGGGCTGGGGGCCAGGACTCCTGGGTCTGAGGGAGGAGGGGCTGGGGGCCTGGACTCCTGGGTCTGAGGGAGGAGGGGCTGGGGGCCTGGACTCCTGAGTCTGAGGGAGGAGGGGCTGGGGGCCAGGACTCCTGAGTCTGAGGGAGGAGGGACCGCGGGCCTGGATCCGAGGTCTGAGGGAGGAAAGATCTGGGGCCCGAACTTCTGGGTCTGAGGGCTAGAGGGGCCTGGACTTCTGGGTTCTTGGAAATAACGTGGCTCACCAATGAGGGTGATCTGGTCACCACCAGCACCCAGCGCCCCACTGCACAGCACGGAGTAATTTCCCAGGTCCCAGTCCAGGCTGAAGTTGCCAATGAGGAGCTTCCGCCCATCTTGACTGAGCCGAAGGCGACTCCCGCCTCCTGGAGCCAGGGGCCGCCCTTCTCGGGCCCAGGATGCCCGTGAGGGTGGGGGACAACCAGAGGCCTCCAGTGCCACCTCTGCCTCCCCTGACTGTGTCTCTGCCACCAGCGGATGCAGCAGCACCTCTCGGGGGGCCTCTGCAGGTGGGAGAAGCCGAGTCAAGAAAGTCAAGACTTTACCGTGGATTCAAAGAACAGGTCTATGCCCTATTTTAAATCAGATGGTGGTAGGCCCTGGCGCTTTGGCCACCTGAGAAAGAACTGCCAATTCACTCACTCATTAGCTCATTTATTCATTATCTAATTTCCTCATCAAACACTGATTGAACACATACCATAGGGGCAGGTTCCGTACTGGGAAACTAATATTCTTCTCAGCCATTCATTCTTCTTTATTATTATTATTTTATAGTAATAATAATTACAAGACCGGGTCTTGACACACTGCCTAGACTGTTCTTGAAATCCTAGGCTCAAGCGATCCTCCGGCCCCTGACTACCAAAGTGCTTCGATTATTGCCCCCGGCCTCGTTACTCTCTAAATTAAACATCACTGCTTTGGCTGGGCCTTCACGCCTGTAATCCCAGCACTTTGGGTGGCCAAGGCGGGCGGATCACCTGAGGTCAGGAGTTTGAAACCAACCTTGACCAACATGGTGAAACCCCGTCTCTACTAAAAATACAAAAATAAAACCTAGCTGGGTGTCATGGCATCTGTCTGTAATCCCAGCTACCAGGGAGACTGAAGCAGGAGAATCACTTGAACCTGGGAGGTGGAGGTTGCAGTGAGCCGAGATTGAGCCACTGCACTCCAGCCTGGGCGTCAGAGAAAGACTCCCTCTCAAAACAAATAAAAACAAACAAACAAAATAAAAAACAAAACCATCACTGCTTTCTCTCTCTGAACACATGGGAAAGTGACGGCCTTCTACACCCGTCCCTGCACACCCTCTACCATGAGGTATAGAAAAAACTTTGTCCCTTTTCTAGTTTGAAGAAAGTTTAGTCCTGCCTATTCCTTGGACTAAGGAGGTACCCCATACCCCTTCAGAATTTCCAAAAGACCAAAGAAAAAGTCTCTCTCCTCCTCGAAAAACAAACAGCACAAAAGCCCGGCGCCCTCTCACCCGGGATGACGGTGCAGGTACGCGTGGCCACCAGGTGGCGAGCGAGGCAGGTGATGGGGACGCCGCTGAGCCGGGGGTTGGCAGGGACGGCCGCCAGCAGCACGGAGGACACCGGCCCGGCGCGGATGCCTTCAGGAAGACCCTGGAACTGCAAAGAGGCGGCAGGGACCCCGCCGGGCCACGAGCAGCGGAAGCGGAGGCTGCGGTCCCCGGGACCCCCTTCGACCGAGCAGTGCGGGGCCCCGGGGGGCAGGTCTGCGGAGGGAAGGGAGAGAACGAAGATGGAGTCCCTCTCGCGTCTCTTCTCCAGCCCCGCCTCTCCGCGCGGTGACCCCACCCTTCTTCACTAGCCTCGCCCCAAAGGTGCTCGACACCTCCCACCTGCGATCCCGTTCCCTTTTCCCGTTAACTTCTCCGCTAAGTGGGTAGCCCGAAGCCCCGCTGACTGCTCAACTTTCTTAAGAAAACGGCATCTTCGTACAATGATTTTTTTCTTCCGAAACGAACTCAGCCTTTTCCCTTCCAGCTCCACTCCTTCTGCCAGGTTTCTTCGCCGCCTCCTGGATTGCTCTCCGAGAAGCCTCCTCTTTTCCTAGATATCTCGTCCTTCCTTGTGCACCCCGTCCCCATTCTAAGATAATTCTGCCCGCTTTCCAAATGACCTCGCCCCTTTCCCTTCTGACTCCGCCCCTCTTCCCAGGTAACTTTTCCTTTTGCTGATCCCACTTACCGGCCCAGGCAACTTAGTTCTTTCCCTTTCTAACTCCCACTCTTTGCCATTTAACTCCGCTGTCCATTGTTGAGAGTGCTCCTTGCCTGCGAATGTCCGCCCTCTCAGTGCTGGGCCGGCCCCTGTCCTGGTCACAGCTGCCACTCCATTTGGTTCCTTCCCTAGTCCTCTTTCTGGCCCCGCCCCTTACACTAGGTATCTCCGCCCCTTCTCGCTGGCCCCGCCCACCACCACAGGTATCCTTCCTCCTTCTTGGTGACCCCGCCCCACCCACCGGGAGACTGCTCCTCGCTGGCCCCGCCCCTTTTCTTAGCCCCGCCCCCGTTCCGGCCCCACCCCCTCCCAGGGATCCGCCCCCGCCCTCCCGCCCCTGGCTCCCACCTGCCACAGTGAGGTTGAGCAGCGAGCGGCGGCGGCGGCTGGTGCGCGGGTTCGCAGCCAGGCAGGCGTAGGTGCCTGCGTGGCCCGGCCCGACCGCGGGTAGCAGGAGGCGCGGCCCAGCGGGCACCGCGGCCTCGGCCGGGTCCGCCAGGCTCCAAGCTATGTCGGCGGGCGGCCGCGAGGCGGCGGCGCAGCGCAAGGTCACGTTGCTGCCCGCAGTGACAAAGAGGGCAGGTGCGGCGTCGCGGTCCGAGGAGACCGTGATGATCGGCGGGTCCGGGCCGTCTGGAGGGAGGAGGGGTCGGGACCGCGAGGGTCGGGATCACCTGGGACTTTGCTAGGACTCCGGAAGACTCGGCCCCCAGTACCCCCTGTCCCCGACCCGAGGCACTCCCACTTACAGAAGACGCTGACGTCGGCGGCAGCCTCCCGGTGGCCGAAGGGGCTGCGGACGCGGCAAGTGTACCGGGCGTGGTCGCTGCGCACAGGGCGCGTGATGACCAGCTGGTCTCCCTCTGAGCGGATCCGGGGAGGCTCGGCTCCCTCCGGGTCCGCCGCCTCAAGGGCTCGTCCGTCCTGGCTCCAGCTCAGCTCCCCACGACCGGGCCCCCACCCCAGGCAGCGCAGCCGGAGTTCGGCCGCCCCCTCTTCCGTTTCTGGGGCCTTGGGCTGAACCGACAGCTGGGGTAAGGGCTCTGGGAGAGGGAGAACGGGCTCAGGACCCTGTCCGGGAGCCCATCTTTGGTCCCCTCCTCTCTTACACCTAAGACTTCTGGCCCCAGCAGCTGCTCCCTCTAAGCGCCTGGAGTCCCGAGCCCCATCCCTCTCCTCTCACAAACCCATGAGTCTGAGCCCCCAGCCCTGTCCTCTCCAGGACCCAGTAGTTTGCCAGAGGAGGCCCCCAGCCTCCTCCTCCTCCCTCAGACCCAGGAGTCCATGCCCCAAGAAGTCTCGATCCCAGGTCCAACTTTGCACAAAACACCCCTGCCTTGACCCCTAGCTCTTTTCCTCGCTTCCTCAAGCCAGGAGTCCTCTTCTCCCAACTGGGGACCCCTTTCTCCAGGAAGGAAACGTTCTCAGAACAGCATCGTGACTTGCCCAAGGCCTAGCAGAGCAGAGCAGCCCCTGCCTCCTGCAGTTTGGACCTCAGGGCCCACTTACCATACACACCCACCGTGAACTCCTGAGTCTGCCGGGAGACCCCTGCCCGGATGACCTCAGCCGTGTAGACCCCTGCATCATCCAGCTGGGCAGAGGAGAGCTCCAGAACCCCCCGGGCCTGGTCAAATCGCAGGCGGTCTCGGTGAGCAGGGTCCAGGCTGATCAGAGGTGCCCCTGGCCCCAGGCCACCAGCTGCCAGCACCTTAGAGCCCCGGCGCCAGACCACCAGAGGAGCAGGGGGCCCAGGGCTGGGGACTGGGACCAGAGGAAGCTGGATGGTGGTCCCCACCAGCACAGCGAGTGGGCCCCCCACCTGCTGGGGGATGCTTGCAGCTGAGTGGGTCTCTGCAGAAAAACTGGATTCAGGACTCTGGGCAGAGAGTTTAAGATCCATGTCATCAGGGGAGAATTTTGAATCCGGGGCCTCAACAGACACTTTGGTACTGGGGACTTGAATGGAAATGTTTGAAGGTGGGGTCTTAACAGAGAAGGGAGGGTTGGGGTCTTTGGCAGGAACTTGAGGATCTGAAATACCAGGAAATACTTCAGAACCAGGGGTTTCAGAGAAGGGGGAATCCAGGCTCAAATCTTGGCCGTCAGCAGAAACATTTGACCAGAAGGATCCAGACATGTTGCTAGAACTCAAGGCCTCAGGAAACCAGCTGGAATCAGAGATTCCAGCAGAGCCTTTTGAATCCACGGACTGATGTGGAAGTTCCCAACTGGGAGGTTTGATGGAGGGAACTTTTGCACCCAGCCCCTGAGAAGAGCTCTTTGAGTCCGAAGGGAAGGAAGAGGAGAAGTTGGTTTGCTGAAGTCCAGAAGAGGATCTGAGGGCGAGGACCCCTACCAAGGAGGCTGCAGAGAAAAGGGGAAGGCATTGGGGGAGGCTGCTCAGGGAGACTGGCTGGGAGGGGACTGAGCAGGAAACTTACCCAGGAGAAGGAAGAGTGGGAGAGCCTGTGGGGTGTCCATGGTGCTGGCCTTACTGAAAGGACACTGGAGCGAGACCCAGGACTTCACCTCTCCCTCCCAAGTGAGACGAGTCCAACAGGACTGGTAGCTTAGCTTCCTGGGAGGGGAAGGGAGCCAGACCCAGAGGGAGGTGCCAGGATCCCCAACCCCGATGTGGTGGCTGAGCTGCCCACCCCACCCAACTCTCTTCATTAGCCGGTCCCACCTGCAGGGAGGCTCAGCCTGATCCCTGCACTCCCCACCCCCAGGTGGAAAATGAAGTAAAAATTCCCAGCTAAAAATGTGGTAGCAAATTTGTGGAACAAAGCCAGGAAGACTTCCTGGAGGAGGGCAAGGCGACCTTTCTCAGAGCCCCACCTCTGAGGGCCACAGCCTCAGAGCAGGCTTCCTCGTCCCCAGCCTCCTGGCCCCTTCCACTCTGTCTTGCCTGCAGCCTCAGATACCCACATCTAATCCTACTCCTCCTCTGCTCCAGGCCCTCCCATGGCTCTCTGTTGCCCTCAGAACCAAGTCTCCACGTGCTACCTCCTCCTAGGGCCTCTGTCCTGAGACCAGAGCTGCACTTCTGCGTCCCTGAGGCCCCCTCATGGCCTGTGTCCTGCTAAACTCAGAACCTTTCCTCTAACCCAAACTTCCTCTTACCTCCAGAATGGCTTCACCGTCTTTGAAAATGCTGGGAAACATTCCCGTCTCCTCCCTCCCCCCTCCCCACTGTCGATCTGAGTCCCACCCCTCCTACCTCCTAAACCTCTCTGTCCTTTCTCCTCCTCTTAGTTCTCACCGCCCAGGCCCTGTCCTCTCTCCCTGCCCCGTTGCCCTCCTCTGCCCAGTCTCTTCCAGTCCCTGCCAGGGTCCTTCACCCGGAGCTGAACCTGCCCTCCCCTGCTCACAGCCCTCCCCTGGCTCCTCAGCGCCCTCTGGAGACATCCAAGCTCCAACGCAAACCCACCCAGTCACCCACCCCAGCACTTAAACATCCTGACGTTCTTATCCTGCCTCCCATCTCACCTCCCAGTCCTCTACCTGGAATGCTCTCTCCCACTCTCCACCTCCCTCCAACCTGGCTAAACCACAACTTGTCCTTCAGGTCTCACTTTACTAAGAACCATCGTTAATTACCACTTAGTTTGAGCCAGGAAGTACGCTAAATGTTGTGTATGCATCATCGGGCTGAACCCTTCTAAATATCCTGTGAGCTGAGTGTCATTATCCTCACTTTACAGGCCAAGTGACTTAGGCTCAGAGAGGTCAAGGGACCTGCAGGTTTCACAGCCAGAGGGAGAAGCTGGACTTGGGACAAGGATGGTCAGACCACTGACTCCTGATAGCTTTTCCTACCATCCTATGCTGAGCTTAGGGTCTCTGCTCAGCTCCCAGTCCTCTGAGCTTACCCTGGCACAGTTCTCACCACGCTGGGGTAATAATACCAGTAATAACATATATATTTCTTGAAATGGAGTCTCGCTCTGTCGCCCAGGCCGGAGTGCAGTTTCAGTTCACTGCAGCCTTCCTCGCCTGGGTTCGAGTGATTCTCCTGCCTCGGTCTCTGTAACAGCTGGGATAACAGGCATGCACCAACACACCCGGCTAATTTTGGCATTTTTAGTAGAGATGGGGATTCACCATGTTGGCCAGGCTGATCTTAAATTCCTGACCTCACGTGATCTTCTCCCCTAAGCCTCCCAAAGTGCTGGGATGATGGGTATGAGCCACCATGCCAGACCTAATACTGGTAATAATATATATTTATCATTTTTTTGGATAGCAGGTGTGGTTCTGGGTGTGCTACCTAAATTAACCTTTCAAAACTCCATGGAGTAGATTATGTAGCTTAACGAGGGCCGCAAGTTTGAGCCTCCTCCCATTAAGATGTGGGGGTCTGGCCGGGCGCGGTGGCTCAAGCCTGTAATCCCAGCACTTTGGGAGGCCGAGGCGGGTGGATCACAAGGTCGAGAGATCGAGACCATCCTGGTCAACATGGTGAAACCCCGTCTCTACTAAAAATACAAAAAATTAGCTGGGCATGGTGGCGCGTGCCTATAACCCCAGCTACTCAGGAGGCTGAGGCAGGAGAATTGCCTGAACCCAGGAGGCGGAGGTTGCGGTGAGCCGAGATCGCGCCATTGCACTCCAGCCTGGGTAACAAGAGCGAAACTCCGTCTCAAAAAAAAAAAAAAAAAAAAAAGATGTGGGGGTCTATGTCCCCAGTCCTTGGATCTGAGTAGGCTCTGTGACTGCTAGCCCAGGAGCCTAACGTGGAAAGGACCCTGTGCCAGGGTCTGCATCTAGGCCGGCACATGCCACTTTCTGTATCATAGGACACTCCCTCATGGAACCCAGCGCCCACACTGTGAGGAAACTCAAGCAGCACCGTGGAGGGGAATCATGGCCCCTGGTCAGCAGCCCCAGCCAGCTTGTGGGCCGTGTGGGTGAGCTCTCTTAAAGTCAATCCCCTGACCCCATTTGAGCCACCCGAACTGATCCTGCGTGGAGGAGAAACAAGCTGTCCCTGCTGAGCCCTGCCCAGATTCCAGACTTAAGAGCACAATAAACAAGTGTTATTTTAAGCCACCAAGTTTTGGGGTGGTTACGCCAGAACAGACAACCAGAATGTAGGTATCACTAATTCCATCTGATAGAGGAAGAAACTGAGGCTCAGGGAGTAGTTGCCTGCCTAAGACCCTCCTAGAGCCAGGAATGGGTCAAGTGGGATTTGATCCAGGGCCCTGGGACCCAGAACCCATGCCCTTAACCCCTACATGATGCCGTTACTATTTTGATCTGCAGATAAGGCAAAGGAAGCTCAAAGACAGGAAGGAATCACCCAAGACCTAACTGGCAAAGCTGAGACTGAGGATATGAAATCAATGTATCTGACTCTATCAGAAGGCCAGAGGAATGGAACACGATTTTTAAAATAAAAAATTAGGTCAGGCACAGTGCCTCACGCCTGTAATCCCAGCACTTTGGGAGGCTGAGTGTAGGTAACCCCCCATATAGGCACCAAGAAATAAGAGCTAAGCAGAACCCTGGCACAGTTAGGGCTTGAGGAATAGCTCACTTTATAGTGTTACTACTCAGCTATTTCCTTTTATATAATCCTTTACATAATCATATATTAGTTTATAGAAATAGGGCTTAAAGAGAGCTTGCCTCACCAGCCTCGCCTGACTCCACTTGTAAGTAGCGTGGCCCCCCTAGCCCAGCTGTGTCCCCTTTGTACTTCTGTGTCCTTTTTTTTTTTTTTTTTTTTTTTTGAGACAGAGTTTTTGCTCTTGTTACCCAGGCTGGAGTGCAATGGCGCGATCTCGGCTCACCGCAACCTCCGCCTCCTGGGTTCAGGCAATTCTCCTGCCTCAGCCTCCTGAGTAGCTGGGATTACAGGCACGCGCCACCATGCCCAGCTGATTTTTTTGTATTTTTAGTAGAGATGGGGTTTCACCATGTTGACCAGGATGGTCTCGATCTCTCGACCTCGTGATCCACCCGCCTCGGCCTCCCAAAGTGCTGGGATTACAGGCTTGAGCCACTGTGCCCGGCCTCTGTGTCCTGTCTTTATTTCTCAAATCCTGCGCCTCAGCACAGCATAAAGCTCACCCCACAACACTGTAGGGCCACCAGCCATACATCTAGCTCACAACGTGCCCTACAGCTGCGGTGGGTGGATGATTTGAGGTCAGGAGTTCAAGACAAGCCTGGGCAACATGGTGAAATCCCATCTCTACTAAAAATACAAAAATTAGCTGGGCACAGTGGTGTGTGTGTTGGCAACAAAGCAAGACTCTGTGTCAAAAAAAATAATTACAAAGAAATTAATCTGGCCAGGTACAGTGGCTCACGCTTGTAATCCCAGCACTTTGGGAGGCTGAGGTGGATGGATCACCTCAGGTTAGGAGTTTGAGACCAGCCTGACCAATATGGTGAAACCCCATCTTGGAAAAAAAAAAAAAAAAAAAAAAAAAATTAATCTGGCTGTAGACCCAGGCTGTTCATTGCCACACTAGGTTTTGATTGTCTGTGGCTTGCCTGTGTCTCAGACCAGAACCAAAGCTTCTGGCCCCATTCTCTCGTGTCCCTGCTGAGACTGGGGATACAAGAGAGAATGAGTGTCCTGCAAACACTGTGAATAAAAGCCCTTCTTCTCACTCACCTCAGATACTTGTGTTGCAACACTCAACTTGGATATCATCTCTCTGGGAAATCTCTGCCCCCACAAGCCAGGCCAGGTCACCCAGCTGGGTTCCCAAGGGCCCAGTGTGCCTCCACACCTAGCATACTTCACCTGAATTACAGCTGCCTTTGTCTTCATTGTCCTCCGCATCAACTCCTCGTGGGCAGGGATTGGATCCACGGGGCCTGGCACACAAAAGACTCAAGTGAATGTTGAATGAACCAAATAACGTGTCTCTAGGAAATGAGTAAACAGAGACAGACGTGGACAGTCAGTTTTATTGCCATCTCTGGGAAGGGCTCAAATCCGCCCGATCTCCCTCAGCTTGGCCACCAGGTCCTCAGTGGTCTCCACCTTGACGCCGGCCGTGCGCTGCGGCGGATCCTCCACGCTTATCACAGAGAGCTTGGAGGTCAAGTCCACGCCCAGGTCCCCAGGCTTGATCACCTCGATCTTCTTCTTCTTGGCTTTCTGCACATGGGAAGCCACTGTTCACAGGGATTCAGAAGCCCTGCCACCCTCCTGCCACCTCCTTCCCATGGGTGCCATGCCTGCCGACCAGTCCCATGGGCTGAACCCTCTGGCCCCACCCACTAGCCAGGACACACGAAACTTCTCACAGGGCCACACCTGGTGTGGATAACTCATGCTGGCTGGGAGGCCCAACTACTGCAGCAGTCTTCCTATAGGTAACCAACTCAGGAAGCCCTTCACTGGCTGCAGCAGACTGGCAAACCCATCCTTTTGGTAGTAATGACTCAGTGGACTTTTGGTTGAAATGACATGCTGAAGGCTCCTAATAGGCTCAGATGATGCACTGAACCCTCCCTATAGGCTGAGATGATGCAGTGAACCCTCCCTACAGGCTGAGATGATACAGTGAACTCTCCCTATAGGCTGAGATGATGCACTGAACACTCCCTATAGGCTGACATAATGCAGTGAACTCTCCCTATAGGCTGAGATGATACAGTGAACTCTCCCTATAGGCTGAGATGATGCACTGAACACTCCCTATAGGCTGACATGATGCAGTGAACCCTCCCTACAGGCCGCGACGATGCAGTGAACCCTCCCTACAGGCCGAGATGATGCAGTGAACCCTCCCTACAGGCCGAGATGATGCAGTGAACCCTCCCTACAGGCCGAGATGATGCAGTGAACCCTCCCTACAGGCCGAGACGATGCAGTGACCTCTCCCTACAGGCCGAGACGATGCAGTGAACTCACCCTATAGGCTGAGACGATGCAGTGAACCCTCCTGAGACGATGCAGTGAACCCTCCCTACAGGCTAAGATGATGCAGTGAACCCTCCCTACAGGCTAAGATGATGCAGTGAACCCTCCCTATAGGCTGAGATGATGTAGTGAACACTCTGTAATGGCTGAAATGACTCACTGCACTCTCCCCATTGGCTGAGATGATCCAAGGAACCCTCCCTGTTGGCTGAGATGACCCACTGAATGCTCTCTGTTGACTGAGATGACCCACTGAACTCTTAATATTGGTCAAGATGATCCAGTGAACCCAGCCTACTGGCCATGATAATTAGTGATCTCTCCTTGTTAGCCAAGAGATCCCATGCATCCTTCCTAACTAGCCAAGATGATAACTTCACATCAGCAAAGATTACCAAGGGGTCCCTCCCTAATGAACCAAGATGACCCAGTGAATCCTCTTTATTTGCCAAGATGACCCAATGACCTTGTTCCACTGGCGGGAATGACAAAGGGAACGCTTTCTGCTGCCCAGTGAAGCCTTTCTACTGGCCTAGATACAGCAAGCCCTCCCAGTTAGCCAAAGCAGCACCCATGACCTCTCAGTATTGGCAGAGATGACCCAACAAACCCTCTCTATCAGCCAAATGACCAGGTGACGGCTTCCTTTGCACAAGACCTCCCGTGGAGCCTTCCCTCCTCGCATCCAACCACCAGGGGGCACTGAACTTGCAATGTGCTTGCCACCCCCAGGCCCTCAGTGCCCGCCAGCCAGGGGCTCACCATGATGTTGGGCAGCGTGGCATAGCGGGGCTCGTTGAGCCTCAGGTCGGCCGTCACCACGGCTGGCAGCTTCAGGCGCAAGGTCTCCAGGCCTCCGTCAATCTCCCGCTCCACTTTCAACTTGTCCCCCTCCAGCGTCACCTGTGAGGCGAATGTGCCCTGGGGAGGGACAGTGTAGGAGGAGAGTGGGTAAGGCTAATTCAGGTTTGGCCTGAGCAGTGCGCTTATGCCACTACTGAATACATGAACCGACAAGTGAATGAATAAGGGAGCGAACAATGCAGGGTCTCACGAGATTCAGAAT